ATTTACTGACATTTACTTAGAAACTGCAGCGGTCAAAATTCATGAATTGTTTGGATCATTGTAGACCTGAGTCGACTGTTGTTGTTTTATTATTTCATTATAATTTTGTAGTAAATCATGTTACCATTAAAAACCCATCTAGTACAAAAACTCAAGACCAGTAAGTTTAAACTTTTTTATATAAACTATTGTGGTAAATTAAAAATGAAAAAAAAATAGTTAAAATGTTGTTTTTATTGTCTGAGACTCGTTTAATGGCGATGAAAAGATGGTCATATCATAAAACATTTTTATTGTCTCTGCGTCCACTTGCTGCTTTGTTTGTATTTATTATTGCTATATACATACTTAGTTTTCATGAATAAAAAAACAGAGAGGAAAAAAAATACAAAGTAAAAAGTTCTTATCATAATTTTTATTATTTTTAAATCGTTGGAAAATGTATTTTTGAATTAAAATTGATAATTAATTAAAAAGTGATGAAAAGTTTATTGGAATTTAATCAATTAATTTAATTTATAGAGAAATAAAATGAGCATTCACCACTCATTCCTTTTATCAAAGTTCCTTCAACGAGTAGCACTATACTTGAATATTAAATAATTGATGATGGAGATCATAATTACTAAAGCTTGATATTTAGTAAAGCGCTTTTTTAAAACCTTTTTTGAATTTTCTTGTGAAATATGTTTTAAATTTGAATAAAAAAGTTAAAAATGATTTTCTAAAATATTCAAAATGTTTTAAATTTGATTTTTATCAATAAAAAAAAAATGCTAAGCTCAAGCTAAACCTTAACATGAATTTTTAAGATATCAATTAAAAAATGTGTCAAACTTTTTTATATTATTTTCAATTTCAATTTCTTATGTGGTTTGCAAAAAAAGAAAAAAGTTTAGATGGTTGGAAAATGGTTTTCCTTTCCTCGCACAAATCTTAGAGTCTTTCGAAAAAGGAAATAGCCTTTTTTTGTTAAACACAATTGTTGAAAATAGAAAGAAAACTTTTATTTTTTTTTTCAACAAGTCAGAAATAAATTTTAACAAATTCGTCAAATGACTTTTCATTTCATTTTCTTCTCTTCCTTTTCACTTCTTTTTCCTGAATGACATTGGGTTAGGAAACAGGAAAAAGATTAATTTCAAAAATCCGTTTTTCGTATTCAATTCAGATCCAGGAATGGTGGGGAAGGGAAATGAAATAAAAGGAAATGAATGTTGGTAAGGAGGAAAGGAGTAAATCAAGGATATGGCTTATATAGTAGTCATTTCAAGGCCCTTTTAATGCCTTATTTTCGATATTGAGAGCCACCGCAACAAAATGAAGCAATTTACACAAATTAATGGTTACCTTAACCGCCTATTTACCAGTAAAGCACTTAAATATAAGTTTATATATAGAAAATAGCTCGCATTTGATTAAAGCAGCATGATAAAGAAGAAAAATACAGCAAAGAGCATTAAAAGGGATAATTTCGATAGACCAAATATAATATAAGCCTTTTTTTATTCCATACCAACAATAAACCAATGCATGTGTAAAGGAATTTCGTACTTCTTATCAATTCCAGATTTTCAGTTTATATCGAGCAGCTTTCATTTTAATCTTGTTTTTTTTATATGAACTTTACAGCGAATTAAATAGTTTTATGCTTCTTGAAATTTTCCGAATAACTCAAGCCGGTTAATCGAATAGAAATACGGCACCAAGCTAGTGTGATTCTGGCATGGTGCTGACCTTTAATTGAATTCCAGTTTGGTGCTGGCTTTCTAGTCCATTAACCGACTTGTGCTTTTCGGGATTTAACCTTTTTCATATGAATTCATTTAAAAACTATTCAGGCTACGCCCCTGGTCCACCAAGATTAAATTCAATTATCAACAATAAAGAAAACAAATTTTTGTAACTTCAGCATGCTCAAGAAATTAATATCAATTCGAGTGAAAGACATAGACACGTAGAGGAAATTTAATTTTATTTAACTGATCATTATATGAGCTCAGCATATATCTAATTTCCATTTCTTTCTTACATTCACCAACAGAAATAATTTGAAATTCTTGTCGTTTGCCCTAATTTCTCTTCTTTTATGTGTTTGCTGGTGTTGCTTTAATTTTGGGCAGCAATTTTCATTTCTTAGTGTCTTTTCGGTGCTGTTCGATTTACCTTTTTTTACAACTTTATTTTTTTAGAGCATTTTTTTGATATCATGTTTGTGAATTTAATACGTTGCTGTCTGAGCTGTTCGATTGAAGCAACTAGCCATCAAAGAGTTCTTTCAATCGATTGATTTGAGTGTCAATTGGATTAAATTCAACGCGTCCTCCATCAAACATCTTGACTACTCCAAACATTCTTTAAAAGGATGAGTTTATTACGTGCTTGATGAAAAATGGTGAATTAGTCTTAAATAAAAAAGGGATATCTTCACTGTTGCTCTAATTACTCAAGTACATCATTGATATATTAGTTGAGTGGTATCGAATTTCAGTTGATTTGTTTTCCAAATAAATTGATCAACTTTAGACTTCGATTAAAATTATTTCAAGTGTAAATTTGAGTCAATTAAGTCTTTTTCTTCGGATTTTAATTGGATTTTTAAAAAGATATTGCTTTAAGCAAATCTAATTTGTTTAACAGAAATTAATTTTTGAGGTTATTTTTTATATTTTTGTTCCATTTTACGTAATATCGTAAAACCGACGGTAAAAATCTCTTGAATAAGCAGAATTAGCATCGGGGTCATTCATAAATTATGTTTTTTGAGGGTCTGCTGCTTACAAAAGAGAGGAAAGGGGCACGTGGTTAAAGCCTGGATTAGCTAAGGACAAATTACAAAAAAAATGTGGAAAAAATATCGAACTACAACCCTAGCTACATATGATAAAAGTTACAACCAAACCAAAAGTGTATTATCTGATTAAATGACACAGTAATAACATAATTTTATGATTATTTATATAGCAGTATATGAAATGTTACGTGAAATAGTTGAACACTTTCATGTAGCTGAAATAACAGATATTTTCATTACTTGTACAACATCAAATAAGAAATGAAGGGCGTAATAAAGCCACCGACAGTCGAAGTTGAATATATTTGTGATATACACAACCCAAATAAATATAAAAAAAAAGTGTCGTGAAATATTCATCATAAGCAATTTGCAAAATTGCTGGGCTATGAAACAAGAGGAGGTCTAGTGGTGAATTTCCCGCATACTATCTAGGACTTATATTACATCAATAATTAATTCTTTAATGATTTATGACATTTTTATACTGCTTTATATACTGCTTCTGTTTAGTATGAAAGCAGTGCCTGTTTTTTGCTTGCTATTTTTTGACCAATAAAATATTTAATGAAATCGTTTTTTTGGGGTTCTTTTTTTTGTTCATTTCACAAACCCCCCCGCATAAATAAAAAGAGATTTTTTTCCTCCAGTTTTAATATTTCAATCTGCGAGGCGCGCATAAATGAATAAAAAAATATTTTTTATTGAATTTATTTTCTCTTTCCTCAATTTAATTGCGAGGAAATATTTTTTCATTATGATTTAATGTCAAAATTGATACCTTAATGAGGATCGTAAAGGAAGGTTGATTGAGTTATTAAAGAAGCAAACATATTCAATTTTTAAAATCTCATATTCATGTTCCCCCCGAAAATAAAAAGTAACCGTGAGAATCTCAGCCTTTTATTTTATTACTTCCGGAGATGATTTTCTCAATAATTATTTTCTTTAACTTTTATGAATGATTTCAAATAATTTCAACTTCCTTTCTAAACTATTTTGTAAATAAATTTTTAATGGGGGTTCTTAAGTGAAGACGTATCAATGATATTTCCAAAGATTCTTTTCAAAGCAGTTAAATAGTTTAAGTTTGTATCCTGTCGTGCTTTATAGCAACCCTCGATAGCTCAGTGGTAAGAGTATAAGGTCTGTAATCATAACGAATGTGAGTTCAATTCTCAAATATTCTTTTTCAACAAAATATTCAATCGACAGAAGCGTAAGCATCACAAATCTAAGTTAAAAAAACATTTGATGAAGTTGTGAATAGTTGAGATTCTCGAGAGCTATAATAACATCCAAAAGCTGTTTCTACTTAACAGGATAATCTCCGGATCGGATTATACACTTTACATTGAAACTGTCCTAAGAGACTCGCAACTTTATATGCAATTATAACATTTCTTTCTTGGAAATGAAATCAAAAAGACAACAATTAGTTGCCATTCTGTGTCGGTATGATTGTCATTTGATATATTCCTGTCTACTCTCTTGGCATTCGATCACTAGTGACACTCGTTTTTTTTGTATGCATATATTGTTATTGGGTGGGTTAAAAAATTACTCAATTTCACTTTCAATTTAATAATAATAATAATAATGTCAAAAAGAGATATCAGTGATGCTACGTGAACTGGGTTTAATTTCCAAAAAAACATGCATATTCGTTTAAATGGATGAATGTAATTTAATGACATCGATATCGCTTTTATTTTGTTTGCATTAATTAATTTAATTTTTAAATTCAGTTTTCAATTTTTTTTCTGCAAAAAAAAATTACTATTTAAAATTTTATAGCAATAAATTGCTTTTCAGAAATATGAATAAATTATTGATATGAATAATGTAAATTTGTGTTTCTAATAATAGCTAAAAAATCACGTTAGTTTAATAAATAAATGCTCAAAATCGATCGATTGCGATTAAAATTCATTGATTCAAATACTGAATTGATCATCGTAACTTAATTAATTGTAATTTATTCTTTTGTATTTTTTTATAGTGACAGAGGCTTAGCAGGAGTATCCATATACAAAAGCCCAGATTAGATCCCCTTGCTACACCCCTGCATAGTGATAGAAAGAAATATAAAGGTGAGTTGAAGTTTGCCGACAAAAACTAAGGAACTGAAAACTATTTTTTCTATAATAAAAAATTGACATATTTATGTTTTTATTTTATTTAGCGCTAGAAGTGATACACTTACCTATAATCACATCATTTGGATGCGAAGCTGAATGTTTATGTCTGTAAGCAGAGAGAAAAAAAAAGAAATAAATATAGTATCATTTTAATATGTTGTTCTTAAACTAAGGTTGGTATTAAAAATGTTGTTTATATGTTTTTTATGGTTTTATTAAGATAATGAATTTGAGGACTCAACTAGTGAATATTGGTTTATTCGTAGAGCCTAAAACCTTCAAACATATGGCAGGTAAAACTCGGTTTATGCAAGAGACACTCGCAAGACATCATAAAAGCTATATTAGTTTAATTTGCCTCGTCCTTGATTTTAATAAAATTAAACGAATAGCACAAGTCGATTAATCGAATAGAAATTAGACACTAAGCTGGTTTAGCTCTTGCATCTCTGGATTTTAGACTTCGGATGAATGAAAGTAATTTCAAAAGAAAATGAAAAGTCAAAATTATTTGTTACACCAACAAAAGACGGATTCGAGAAGCTAGATGTATCATAACTCATTCATCTCTTGACAAATTTTCCCCATCTTCCTTTTAATCTCTCATTATCATCATCATTATTGTTATTAGTAAGTATTAAACATCACCAGACAACAAAAAAAGAGGAGAATATTATTATTATTTTTTTTGAAGAACGAAAAGCAAGACGAGACGATAATTTTGCTGTCTCACAATACCATAATTTCAATTAATTATCTTTGTTCTTATATAGAACAGAAGTGGAAAATGAAAAAAAGAAATAATCATCAAATTCAATGCTCCCGAAAAGTGAGCTATAAATCAGTAGAATCATTCACGTTCCATTTTAAGATGGATAATGTAACAATGAAGATGATAGTTTTAATAACAATGTAGCTACTAAGTTTCAAATGCGTGAGTGTGTTGACGCAAACATTAATTTATTGGAATTTGGCTAATGATTATCCTAATGATTTTTAAGAAATTGTAGGAATTGCGAGTAATTTGAAACCAATGAAAAAAGTCTCGATAATTTTAAATTATTTCTGTATTCAATTTTATCTCTTAAAACTCTCTTCATAAATATTAAGTCGGATTAGGGGTCATTCACTATATGATGTCTATACTTTAAGTCTGAGATTTTAGTACAAAATCCCAAACATTTTTAGAACAAAAGTCTTGTTTAGAAAATCCCAAACTAATTAGACGTCATAAGTGGATGACCCCCCAAATTAACAAGTGTATTTTGCGCTTGAAGTATTTCATCTTCAATAATGGCTTTATACTTCTGGTATTTCTATTTCTGGAAGTCGGTAAATTCCTTTTTGATGATTGTTCTGCTTCAATTTGGGATTCATCGCTTTTTATGGTTTCTTTATTATTTTGTATAAGATTGAATAAAGAATGATGAAAAGAAATGGGAAAGCATAGTAATGATGAACCTTGAATTCCATCAACACTATTCTTAATGCGTTTCATTAAGCGAAACGTTTCATTTTGCTCTTTTATTTAAAAAATTAAAAAAATACCGTGAATTAATTAATTAATTCTTTTTTTTTCTCTCTTGTTTGATGAGCTCCGTCTGCATGCACATATATGGAAACTTGCTTATCGATCCTCAACTTGAATATTGCAACTTTATTTAATTTGTTTATTGCACGTAGTTATGGATTTTTAAAATGTCAACATTTTCAAAGAATTTTTCAAGCCAGAGGTGTAGTCAGGATTTTTTGAGGTTAAGGTATAAGTTTTTTTGTATGAATCATCCAGATAATTGAAAAAATAATGGCAAGACCCCTAGCTGCTCCCCTGTTGGTTTTTTATTGGTTTTCACTAAAGCAACATTTGAGCATTTATAATAGTATAACAAATTGTATTTTAATCGCCTACACAATTTGCTCTATTGTCGTATCTTTTTTCTTTTATTAAATTTATTTCCTTCTGCGGCTTTATCTCATTTCATTTAAACATCTCAATGGCACTACTCAGTGCAACTTGCACAATTTGCTTGTTTTACTTTATAATTTTCATTTTCCATCTCACTCGCTCATTCGCTCATTTCGTTTCGCTTTTAATTACATTAAGCACAATTGCATTATAATGAATAAAGATAGAGACAGAATAAGAAGGGAAAGAAACATTGAGGCAAAATCACTTAAAAGCATTACGCTTTTTCTGTGTCTTGTGGACTAATTAATTTCACTTAGCCGTAAAAAATGGAAATTCTTGTGATCTAATTTGTTAAAGTTTGTTCTTCAATAAAATTAATTTTTTTTCTTTTTCTTTCAATATTCAAATGAAATTCAGGCTGTGCTTTTAGTCAAAGTGAGTTCAATCATAAAAGTTTATTTAACTGCTGTTGCTTAGTAAAGAATTTCTTTTATTTTCTAATCAAGGTTTAACTTGGAAAGTAACTTGCGTAAGAGTAGAAATGAGCTAAAGTAGCTCGGTGGTGGAATAGTTTCGTCCTTCGGTACCTAATTATTGCAATACCTACACAGCGGTCATGGGTTCAAGACTCGGCATGGAAAATTATTCGCTTGCTCTTTTTCAAATCATATGTACTGGAAATGAGGGAACATACAGAAATTTCTTCAAAAGGTGGTTCGAATCCCACTAGAAACTGTAGATCTAAGTTTGAGCTGGTGAACCCTCTCTCGTTAAACTGTCATTAGCATGTCTCTATTTCTTGACTCACATTTTAAAGGAGTTTTAATTTTGAGTTGACGAAAATCTGCTAATAATACAGAATCCAGACCCCCCACCATCACTTAAAAAAAATGTCCATCACTCATAAACGGCCCCTCAGACCTTATAAAAAAGTTTGACAGTGCGCATGAAATTTATTGTTATAGAATAAAATTTCGTAATTTACAATTTGTAAAGATGTATCTTAAATACATAAAGCATATCCAAGAAGCTTGAAAAATATCCATAAATTCGCTCGTTAAAATGAAATTATTTTATTATTCTATTTTTAGATTGCCAAATTCACACCATCGTTATGGTTTTTTGTGAGAAGGAAGAAAGTCATTTCAAGTCCCATTTTAAATTACATATATTTAAAAGTACGACGAGAACGGAATAAGCATGAACGAGATTCTTATTTTTTTGTATGAAAGTTATTGAAGCATTAAGTTGCTTATTAAGCCTTAATTGTCACCATCTTTTACTGTCTGTAAGTAATTTTAATTTTCATGTCTTTATACAAAAGAAAAATAGAAGCGAAAGGAATTAAAGTTGAGTCTTTTTAATATTTAAGGAAATGAAAAAGTTTTTTCTTTAAACTTCAATTGCTTTCCATCCTCAACTTTCTAATTAAATTTTTCAAGTGTGGATGTGCTTCAAAATGGACTCGTCTTTTTTGTGCTCCTTCTTAAACTGTCCTATTCAACTGTTTTTTTAAGTTGCCGTCGTCATCATGCAGCCCAGTTTACTTAACAGCGAATGAAGGAAAGGAGAAAAAAAAGCATTGAAAGTAAGTTGCTTGTTGAAATTAATAAGAATATAAAGAAATGAATATTCATGAAGGCAATGAAAGAGAAGAAATTGAAGTGATGAAAAAAAAGGAGTGAAGAATTTTATGAATTTATTATTAGCTATTGCTGCTGTGTACACAATATTCATATAACCTTCTTTTCACCCATTCAATCAGAAGATTATGATGATGATGATGACTATGATGATTAGATTCAATAGCTCTCTTGTACAATAAATATCTTAATTTAAAAAAAAAATGAATTTGATAGATTTTGTGTACTTGATACGTCTTTATTAAAATGATCATTTCAGATTCTATGTATTTGTGTATAGAGACGGCTGTAGATTGAATAAATCTGATATTCAAATTTTTTTTTGTTTTTAATTCTCTTCATTCTTGATTCAACAATCTTTTTTTTTTATTTCTTTCTTCTTAATTCATAGTTATAGTAAAAGTTATATCCAGATGCGGTTTTATTTCTAAAAGATTTTCAAAAAAAAATATTTCTTTATCCATCTTTTTCATTGATTCAAGTCATTCTAGTTTTGTAAGTCTATAAGATAAAATATTGCATCTCACTGTCGTCAAGAAAAAAAAGGTTCTTTTTAAATCGCTTCGAATTCCTTTCTTTTATGACTTCAACATGAATTTTAGTTTAGATATATTTTAATAATAAAGCATTTTGTCTGATTTTGTGGCATAATATTTAAACTTATAGACTTCAAATCTCACGCTAGGAGCTATTCATTTATGATGTCAATTATTTAAGAAGTGGGGTAGGGGACAGGGGGCTGATTCCTCATTGTTTTTGAAAAAATAAAACGACTGGAATCTTAAAAATATTGGTCGACAACCTTTTCTCTGCTATAGCACACCTTGATTGTAAACTATGCCCGAAACCACAAACGGCACATGGTTCACGTTCTAGAATTTTTTTCGCGGCACATGGGCTGGCCATCACTATTGTCGATGGTTAATGTAAAAAGACTCATCAATTTTTGATGGACATCATACATAAATAACCCCCGCTAATGAATCAAACAAAAAAAACTTAAAAATTTCTACACTAAAATGCGTCACTTGCTACCATTCAGACCCACAAAAAAAAGGTTGATAATAAAAGAATATAAAATGCGCAGGTAGACAGAAGAAAGAAAAAATTTTGTGGCGTAGATTGCATCTGGTTAGTGTGTAATATAAACCTGATTCTTCCACGCAGTCGATTTTTTTGAAATCTCAATCAAGATTTTTTTTTATTTTATTATTATAAAACCTGAAAGAAAGAAGAGTGAAAAAAACTGGAAGCACAAGGAGTAAAAAAGAAACCAAACAAGAAGATGTAATAAGATGAAGAAACCCTATCAACAAATTTAATCGGAGAAGAATACAAATTTTCAATTCGCGTGGCTCACTCATCTTAACTTTTTTTTTTATATAAGAAGAACAATATAGAACGTCTCAATGCAATATACTTATACTGTGTTTTGCAATGGTAACGAAAGAGCAATTTTGATTCAATTATTGTGAAGAGAGCAAAGAAAAAAAAGAAGCTTAAGGCAATCAATGTGAAATAAGTAGAGATGATATCACCTAAAACGACGTGATG